AAGCTAGCAGTAAGCTTATAGTGATTCTTTCGGGGAGCCATCTAGCAAGTTAGATGCCAGAGATGAATGAATTATTGATGCAGCGGATCGCACTTGGGCACCATTACGAGCAGCCAAGTGAGTCTTTATTGAAGAGTAGGAGGGTGGAAGACATTGAGTTTATTGCAGGCTTTTGTTCCGAAACTATGTATTTAGATTACGCACTCCTAATACAATAAAGGCAGGATTGCCAAAGGTTAAAAAAAAAAATTAATTATTACTACATTTTTGATCATTAATTACAACATTAACCGCAACACACATGATAACTACCAATGCTAATAGCGTTTATATCACCACAAGGAGACATTTAAATTTCCACGAATGGAAGAGATAAAGCTCTACTAATGATTGCTATCACAAGTAGAAATATTTAATTAAAAGAATAAAATCTCTACAAGTGAGATATACAAACTCAAGCCATATCATTATATAACGATATATATATACAGTATATATGAATTATATTAACTTATCTTTGCTTCATTAAGATCAAACACTCGTTAGCAGTAATTGTCACGGTCAGAATCGGTTCTACGTTAAAGATCGGTGCCATGGTCGGGTCGTGTAAAATGATTGTATGGTCTGATCAAATTGAATATCGATGATGTAGTCAAACAGTGGAAGTCAAGCAGTGCATGATAGTCCAGGAAACACTATGATGTAAGGACCAGGATAGACGCGGTCTTACTTACCGAAATACGTTGAAATCCGGTGGATTTATGTTAAATACAAGGTCAAGAGAGTTATACCTGTCGTAATTAGTGAATTTAAAATGCTTTGGTGGCAATATTTAATATATGGAAAAAGAAAGAGCTTACTTGGAAACGTTGAAACAAGGGATCAACCATCTGGTCATATGGGTGATGAAATCGTTGGGTGATGAAATCGTTGGATGTGTTCCTGGTATTGAGATTGTTGTGAATGGCGTTAGTGTGGCTCAAAATTTTTACGTAACTCTAATTGACCTCCAATCTATTGCTTGGAATGCCGTGTATAGCGAAATTTTAATGTGATTTCGTGTGGAAGGATGGTAAATATTGTACGATTCGATCTGGAGTTGGTGAATCGATGTTAGTGATTTGGAAGAACTTGCAATTGATATAAACGTTGTGAATGAGAGTCGTAAACGTTAGATGTATAGTAGGGAAGGTGATAGAAAATGACTTGGAAGGTGAAAAGATGGAATCAGCGTATGCAGGAGGCGTTGAAAGGCGAAATAAATAAGAAGGAAAAAATAGTCATCAGCAAAATGTATTTAGATAATACGAGTCATTTAATTCATTAATTGCAAAAGTCAGCGGTGACGGATCAGGCAGGCAAATGTGTAACCATGGCGCTGAAAAGGAATTAAACGCTTACTTGCTATCAAAGATCTGTAGAGACTGGTCACGTTAATGTAACATATAATAGTTGGTGTAGTCATAAATATGGAACCAAAATTGAGAAGACGGAAATAAAGCATTCGATTATTATCGAAGATCACCTGACATGGATCATGCGAATGCAACATATAATCGTGGATTTGCTGTGATAATGGAATTGAAAACGCGTTGAAGGGCGGTAAATTGAATGGACGGTGCAATCTTAAACTCTGGCATGAAAATGGAAGCAGAGTAAAAGGTGATGAGAAAAAAACGTCTAACTATTGTCAAAATCCACCGATGTGAGTGATGATGGTTAATAACGAAAGATGTTGGCGCGAACAATGAAATGAAGGGCACCATTGTAAAAAGTTGAGAGATAACATTACTGATCATAAGATACTAATCGTGATAAGGAAGAGATCACGGAAGGTGGTAAGATATTTTATGAATGTGGCAGACCTGATGTCAAAGGAACGAATAAGAAACATGGAAGTCGTGATGTAAGCCCGGTGCAAAATTCAATGTCAATGAATCTAATGAAGGAATTATGTTAGGCTATAACAACTGAAGGCTATGACGAACCAAAGACAGAACTTAATCGTAAAATGCCATCCAAGATCTGATGAATTTTGCAGAGCAAGGACGCGAATAATTCTGTGGTGAAATGTAAGAGGAATACAATTAATAAAGGCAGTGACTTTAATGAAACAAAAAGTTCGGGACATGAAAAAATCAAATAACGAATACATACGAGACTCTACATCGGAATTAGCATAATAATGTTGAACATGGTGATGATTGTGGTGGTTTTTGGCCTCATGATGAAACTTAGTATAGATTGTTGGTTGGGATGTAAAATGGTTGTAGCTTGGTTGGGAATATTTCAATTATTAGTGATGTAATAGCATGTATTAGTAATTATATAGATAGTAATTAAATATATATATAGCGAAGATCCAAAAGGTGATTTTGCTTAAGTTCTTCTTACGTGAAATTCTTGTGTGGCATTTACCGTAAAAGTTCATATATAAGATCCCAAAATTGTAGACCCACCATGAACTAGACCCGGGTGCGAACTACAAATTCCTTATTAATTAAATGCGATTTTTTCAAATAGTTAGAATGCCTATTATAAATACAAAGTGTGTATGCACTTTAAATTTTTTTTTTCATGAAACCCTGGGTCTACTAAAGGGTTTAAAAATTGGTGGAATGAAACAGACTCGGGTCTTGTACGTATATGAATTTTTACGGTAGTGAAAGTCCTTATACGATACAACTGTCTTCGTCAGTAACCTTGCGAATAATTTTCTAGCCAAATTTAATACCGCCTTTTCCTTTTACAAACTTTAAAATTTGATGAACGCTCCACTTTTCCAATTTATAACTTTCGAACCAGTTTTCGCTGTTTGGTATGATCGTTTTTCGTCGTCGTTGAGCTTTCTCCCTATAAGCTTAACTGGAAATATAATCGTGATGAAAATACAAAATAAAGCAAATGCATAAAATGTGAATGTGAATCTGAATGTGAAGTACGCAGATTGAGAATGGGAAAAAGCAAAGTGTTGAGTGATAAAAAATCATGAACATAGGCGTCATTTTATATAATACCATTGGTTATTTACGTGCAAGTTTTTCTAGTCGATATTTTTCTGGGTGTGTTTGTGTATTTATATAAAAAGGGTAGTGGCTTGTTGTGCGCGCGGTCGCGTGTGATTGGTTTGATTTTCACGCGTGAGATGCGTTGATTGGCTGTTCAAATCAATTTAATTTTACATTATTTATACAGTTTAAAGTACTTTTTAAAAAAAAGAAACCTACGAAGAGTAAACAAAAAAGAAGTACATAGAAAGTTTTATTAGGGTCGTAGGACTCCACTATTAAAAATAATCAAAATTCTTTTTTGTTTTAGAGAAGTTAGCACGGTGATAATCTAATTTTAAGAAGTCGTTATTATGCTAACTTCTCTAAAACAAAAAAGAATTTTGATTATTTTTAAAAGTGGAGTCCTACAATCCTACTAAAACTTTCTATATACTTCTTTTTTGTTTATTCGTAGTAGTTTTCTTTTTTTTAAAAAGTACTTTAAACTGTATAAATTAAATTGATTTAAACAGCCAATCATACGAATGTCTGCCTATGAGTGTGCCCCTGAGCGCTATGAGTTGATTTGAGTGCACCGATCTGCGTGTAACCGTGCCGCAAATAATATTCATGCCAGGGACCCGTGATTTATTTTGATTATAATTTTGGCTAGCGTTAACTATGATTTTAGTACAAATTTTTATTATTGCTAATTAAAATATAAATTATTTAACATTTTTTAAGGAATCTGTACTAAGATTATGTCTATTATCATCTAAGATCTCATTATATTTTGAAAAACTTCTTTCAACTTCACAAGATAAAACCGGCAACCAAATATATTCTATTGCAATTTGACTAAGTATTGGAAGTTGATATGAAATTTTTCTCCAAAACTCATCTAAATTATTGAATTCTATAGTATCTAAATCAAAATTACAATAAACAGACCATTCATAAATCAATTCAGTTGAAGGGTAAGATAATTCAGAAATAATATGTGAATAAGAAAGTAAATCCCGATTAGCAATAGTTAACTTAATAAATCTAGGATCAAATAATTGAGTAGCTTTAAAAAAAGATCGCCCAGAATGATTAGTAATATGTTTGTAAAACTTTTGATAAGCAGCATTAAATGCTTTTTGAAAAATTGATATAAAGTATTCTAAATTATAATTAGAAGTTGAAATTAAATTGTGAATATTTGAATCAAAAAAAGTTGCAGTTTAATTATTGTTAAGAAAATTTTCAAGCTAAAAAGACAAGATTCGATAAATAGAAATATAGGTTTTTGACTTGTTTGAAAAAAATCTAAATCTAAAACGAATTGTTGTGCATATTGATTAATAAAGGTAAGAAAAATAAAAATAAAATTTTTAGTTTCTAAAGAATTAAGAATTAAAACAATAAAATCAACTACTGAAGTAGGATTTTGAGTTTGCTCTTCTTTATAAAATTCACAAATAAGTTCAAAATTTTCCTTAATATAAAATAACATACGGAACCAGGAATTTCATTTAGCATTATTAAAAAGAGGAACTTTTCGTGGGTGGCTAATTCCATAACATTGTTGATAAAAAATATATCGATTGCGATGAGGTTTTGAATATGTAAAAGTTTGTTTAATATTTTGCAATAATTTTCGAACTATATCAAAATCATTAATTCTTACAAATGCTTCACTATTTAAATAATTTTTTTTTTTTTTTTTTTTTTTTTTTTTTTTTTTTTTTTAATTTCGGCAGTCTGCCTTCACTTTATTAGGCTTTGTAAACTATTTAAATAAATTTTAATTAATATAATAGTCACATATATACAAAATATATATATTATAGATATTGCTTTTTTTTTTCAGAACTCCCCTGACAATTACTCGTACCAAAATTTCAACTAACAAAAAACAAAACTTTTGTTGGAGAGATGTGGCTCTATGGTGTGGTTTGTTTAGATGTCAACCTTTTTCTTTGGGAGACTCCTCTAAAAGGACATTCAGCATGCAAGCCAGAAGCATTATTATACAAGATAACTAGCAGGAGCTTGCCACCCTGGTGTCCTTGAATAAAAAATCTTGGTGAAGAGAGTAAGTTACATAGTAGGCTGCTACTTCGTCGACAAAGCCCTAGGCTGTTACTTCAAAGAAGAACACAAGAAAAACAACAAAACTTTTGGATTCTAACACACTCTTTTAGAAGTTTTGAAAGTACTTGCAACCAAAGACCTTTTATCATATTTTTACTATTTTGGAATTTTTTTTTAAAATTTTGACCAAAAAGTGGGAAAACTAGTGTACTTTCTTCAAAAGATTGGCAGTGTTTACTTCTTCCAAATTAGAACACATCTACTGAAATAGAACCTCCCACGAGCTTATTTGGATTATGCTTTGCCAAATAAACAATAATAGCAGTACTGTTTACAGTATAGGGGATCAGAGGAATCACATGTAAAAATTTCTTAATGTTAGACATTTTCTTTTATATTTTTTTTCATTTCTATTATTATATATAGTGTTAGGTTAGATTTTATTCTATACAACATTATATAATTTATATAGCCTTGTACAGACAAAAAT